CTATAAAATCGGCTCCAATTACCGCATTTCGCTCATCCGGGGTCACGGTCCACCTGAGAAAGTAAAGTGTACAACAATGAGTGGGGAAGCCTGGAACGTAACCACAGGATAGGAACCAAAACATGCGTGAGCAGCTAAACTGTGTTAAAATGGAAGGTCTTGTCAAATTTAACAAACAAATGGCGGGAAATGGGCTTAAGAAGCGTAAGCGATGATGTGGCCGCCTTACAAAACCAACGGGATCAAGAAGCTGTAAAAAAAATAGATAGCGACATGCACCAGGGCAGCCAGCGCGATCATGCGTTTTGTGCAATTTCGTTCACCGAACGATTGCCTGCTAATGATTTTCACTGCTTTGCACTTTGGTCTGTGCAAAACTAATTGAAATGTTGTCTGGTTCTTAAGTTGCGGGATTTCTCACTAAAAATTTCACGCACACGAGATAATTCCTCTGTCAAAACTTTCACAGGGCTATACGTGGTACCCAGGGGTGCGCGAAGGTTGAGTCCGAATTTGCGAGGTCGTACGTTTGTAGAGGAGATAACCTAAAATTTCAGATTCTCAGCTTCCACAGTCCCCGAGATAATAATTTTCCTCGCCGAAACTTCCACGGGGCCGTAAATGATACTCAGACGCGCGAGAAGCTGAATTTAAAATTGGGGGATTGTATGTGGATAGAAAAAATTACCAAAAAATTTTAGCTTCCTGGCTTTTATGGTTCCTGAGATAATAATTTCCCCGCCAAAATCTTCACGGGGCCGTAGGTGATACCCAAAAGCATAGGAACACTGAATTTGAATTTGCGAGGTCATTTTTGACGGGTAAATTATTATCTTCGGAACCACGGAGTCTAGGAAGCTGGAATTTTAAAGTAATGACCCCTTACCCATGCTCGATCTTGCCCATTCAATTTGCGAGGTCGTGCGTGGGGTCATTACTGCAAAGTTTTATCTTCCTAGATTCCGTAATTCCCGAGACAATTTATACGTCAAAACTTTCACGGAGCCGGAGGTGGTACCCGAGAGCGCGGGAGCACTGGATTTGAATAGGCGAGATCGAGCATGGGTAGGGGGTCATTACGCTAAAATTTCAGCTTCCTAGACTCCGTGGTTCCGAAGATAATTTACCCGTCAAAAATTTTCACAGGGCCCCTGTTACTCGCGGGCAGGGTAAAGCTGAATTTAGATTTTCTGGGTAGCACATGCGCGGAGGACATGCCCACAAATATTCCAGCCTTCTAGCTTCCGTGGTTCCCATGATAATAATTTTACCCGCCCAAACTTTTACGGGGCCATACGTGTTACCCGCGGTTACGGGGAGGCTGAATTTAAATTTGCGTGGTCGCACGTGGGTGGGGGATGTCCTTCTAAATTTTAAGCTTCCTAGCTTTTGTGGTTCTCGAGTTGAAAGCTACAGACAAGTTGCTGCGGACACACACACACACACACACACACACACACACACACACAACTCCCTGACAATATGCGTTTTGTATTGCTATTACACAGCATAAAAACTGCATAGCAACAGTAATCACCTAGGTCACCCTGACAATCGGTGTAATATTGTTTCTAGGACGCGCATTACACCAGACGATTTGTGAGGCCTTGCAGTTCTGACATGCCTGCCTCCAGCTAGTTTCAACTGCTTATTCGTAATTTGTGCACAGCTCCTTCGACGCGCAGTCTCTGGTGAAGACTGTGATGCATACTCACTTCCTGGTCTAGTAAAACGTAACTGTCAACTTCTTCCATCTGAGCATCTCTTTTGTCCACAGCCTAGCACCCATCAAATACTGGCATTTCGTATCTGCTACACTTCTGATGCATGATTTTCCGGACCTTTTGCATTATTAACAACACTTTTCATAAAAGCTGCAGGAAGACTCCGTCTACCACTGTGCCTGCATATACTCAAATTAGGTTGGTTTTTTTTTAGCTTGCCAGAAATTCAGTCCCTCATAAGGGTATTCTCCGAAATTCCACTTTTGTTAGTGCGAGAGTTAGCAGTCTATCCCGACCAGTGCTTTTCCTTTCTTCAATCTACTGTTCCCATTACTCGAAAATTTCCAAACATTTTTGCAACGACCTCGAGCACCTCAATTTGCTTCATCAACGAGAAAAAGACAGTAGCAACGCATTAACTGCACAGACTCAAGCGTCCACAAATCTTGACCCAGGTGAAACTTGCCCACAAGTTTTCCGCCAACGGAGCCGTTGACCAACATGCTAGTTGGGGTTCCCAGTCAGATACCTAAAGTATTTGCGGTGAGGCCAAACTCAGTGCGCTCCCGGAATTAAAGTACAAGTCTCATGCGATTTATCCTGAACAGAGTTTCTGTGGCCTGAAGAAGGCCGAAGCGTTTGGTACTGCAAGAACCAATGTTTCAATTCGTGCGGTAAATGTTGAAAAGAAACACTGTACTTTTCATTTAAATGAATATTTAAATTTTTTACCAAAGAATTAGTGGTGAGGTTGACAGTTGTTCCATCGCTCAGTTCGAACAAGCCGAGATTCCGCTTTGCGTGGACCTAAAAAGCCTAACGCTTATGTTAAAGCACAGAAGAGGATGGTTTGGAAATAGAACCGGAAAAAACTGGTTGGCCAGGAAGGATGCTAGCCGGTTGCGTACGGAATGAGAATGAAAGCTGCTAAAAAAAACCTACTCTGACGAACAGATGTTTCGGTGGCTTCATTTTCAGCAGTAAATTTAATCCGTTTCGTCCAAACGAATTCTGATATTCCACAACCAAGTTGTTATAGTCCTCATACCATTTCAATTCCGCCTCGCTCATATTATTCTGAAGTGAATGTTAGGTTCCAGTGGTCTCTCGGGTCAATTCTTTCGCAAGCAGTGCTTGGGTAGAGGAAACTTGCTAGGGGTTCATAATTTCGCCTGACAAAAGCATAAACATCCAAGCTGTGCCGAGACATTTTTGACGGCCCCCAAGATAACGGAGCAGAGGAAGAGGCACCTTAATATATTCCGGCAAATGACCACCAAGCTTCCAACGAAGACTCTTGATTCGCTTCATGCGCTCCTGTAGGTAACCACAACAACATCGCTTGATGTATTCAATACAGCACTGACGTGCATGCACTGCTGCAACAAGTTTGTGTTTTTCTTCTTTTTGAGACACCGAACCGGATCGCAACGTCATCCTGAAATATGCGACAAAAATCGCTCGTTTGATTCAGGAAAGACTCCCTGATACTATTCGAAAACCACAATTTTAATAATATTATTTACCAATTCTACGTTACGATGGCAGCTACGCCCGGGAAATAAATACGTGCCGCTACAGGCTGCATTGGACTGTCAGTTGGCGCAAAACTGACAGCAAAT